TGAAGCCTGCAAGCGTCCGGGCAGCGTGCACGCGCCCTCCCCGGCTTCGGAGAACAGCTGCGCACTGCTACGTGCAGGGGGCTGCGGCGCCGGCGTCCCTCCGCTCCTTTCCAGCAGCCCCCCAGCAGCAAAGCGCGCGATCCTTGGAGTCGGGGGAGCGCGCCCCCTGCAGGCCTCGAAGGGAGGGGGGAAAGGTTTCAGGTAAAAGGTCTGTCAGAATTCGAGGGGATGGTATTCCCGATGCAAAAGGTGGAACCTGGGTTTCACGCATGTGGCGGCGCACGGGGCGACCTGGCTCCACCGAGTGAGCAACTCGAGGTAAAAGGAGTTCCCTGGGCAGTGGGGACACAACTTCCCGGCGAGTGTGAAAAGCAACGTGTCACCGAATCTGCATTCGCGGCTTTTGCTCGCCCTGAGGCTCTGATGTACAAGAGCGGAAGGGGCCGGAGCCACGAGCTTAATCCCTCACCTCTGCAAAAGCGCATCCAGGAGCAGTATGAAATCTTTTTAGCGTAATGGGTAACAAAGCATCGGTATAAAAGAGCAATCTAATCGGATCTTTGGCCATTCCTGCGCCGAAAATGTGAGTTTTAAGGTAATCCTTTAGGACAGTCACTTATCCTGAAGCAGCTCAATGATCTGATAGGAGTTTACTGTGACTGAAACGTACTTGGTCACCTGAAAAGAAAGTGCATATAAGCAAAAGAAGAAGAAAAAAATAATAGAAGACTTATATTCTGCAAAATGAACCATTTCTATTTTCACGATCTTGCTGAATGGCTGTCAGGTCTGGTTGATCACTGTCAAAATAGGATACTTATGTTCTAGTGGCCCAGCAAGCAAGATTTAAAATGCTGCATGACAGAATTTAATTTAAAAGTGAAGGGGGGGAAAGTTGGGGGGGGGGAGATATTGTCGTTTAAATGAACTGGCTGTCCCTGGAGCAACCCCCAGATTATCTAAGGAAGGAGTACAAATATTGTAGGCAAAGCTTTCTTTTCAGAGTCCTGAACCCAAGCCATTCAAGGTTTTAAAAATAATAATAATCTTATCTTGTAGCCAGAAACGCATCAGTAACTAAGGTAGAGATTTCAGAGCTGGTGTAACACGGTCTCTCCAGAATAAACAGAAACCCATCTGGCTGCAGCATTTTGAACTGACTGGTGCTTCTGAGTCACACAAAGCACCCCCATGTTAAGTGTGACACAGAAATCCAGTTTGGCAATTACCTGTAGAAATACTGCTGTTTTTAGGTGGTTGTGTAGGACTGGATAGAGATGCTGTATTTGTCAAAGCTGCTGAAACACACTTCTGGCCACTAAGGCTACTCTTCCTGGAGAATGTGAATCCAAAACAGGCCACTCTATTCTATGATCTTTCACAATTATGATTATCTTAAAAAGCAGGGGAGACAAAATGTAGCCTTGAGGGACTCCACATACAAGGTTAGAAAGGAAGGATAAATGGATACGAATCAAGAGATGCTTGTTTAGGTAGAACTGTCAAATCTGGTCAACCACAGGATGGCAGCAAAGAGGTAGAGATTTCTATTCTCTTTCCTGCCATCTTGTGGTCATCTGGATCTTTTGCAGCCCAGAACTGATTGTCCTACTTTATTTTATTTATTTATTTATTTATTTTTTGTCTA